GTGCCACAAACTATAGAGTGGAATAGGGTAGAAGTACGTCAGGGTAGAGTAGGGTAAAGTAGAGCACATTATTAGATCAGGGTAGATGATAGAATGGAGTCGGGAATACTAGAGTAGAGGAGAGTGGAGTCTTTTATAGTCTATGATATGAGAGTAGAGGTGGGGTAGGAGTCGAGTACAGCAGACTACGCTGGAGTAGGTTTTGGTAGGGTAGGAAAGGGTAGTGGAGAGAAACGTGCGGTAGAGTATATCAGAGCAGAGTAGGGTGGGTGATAGAGGAGGGGCGGATCTAAAAGAGTAGTGTATAATGGAGTAGAGTTAAGTGACGTAATGTAAGGTGTGTACACATATGCGTATATCAGGTGGAAGAAGTCAGTAGAGTAGAGCAGGAGTCGAGTAGAGTAGAGTGAGTAGGAGTCAGGTCGAATCAGCTAGGGTAGGGTCGAATAGAGCGTTCCAGGCTTCGGGTCAATTTGGAGTCTGCGCTGGCTGACATGGTTCTTGGCCTCGAGGTGCGAGGAGGAACTTGCTGTTGAGGAGGAGGTGGGAGGGTGGAGAAAGACTTGGCCGCCGTGGTTTCTTGCAGCGTGCACGCGCTGCTCCCAGTTTTCGCCACCGTCTCGTTCAGCGTCAGTGGATGCTCGTGCCACAGCCCGTGTTCAGCCAGTTCAGCTGCTTCGACCGGTTCGGCTGCTTCGCAGGCGGCAGCGTTCTGCCGGCGGTCTGGTTTCGTCCGTTGTTGTGTCGTTGCTGCGTCGCTGCGCCCCTCTGGGCTGCTTGCGGTTCGGCTGCGCCGCAGGCGGCAGCGTCCTGCCGGCGGTCTGGTCCGGTCCGTTGTTGCTGCGGCGCTGCGCCCCGCTATGGGCTGCTCGTGGCCTGTCGGTTTCGGCTTCGCCGTGGGGCCGGTCGTCGTCCGGCTTCGCTGTTGTCTCGGTGGGCCCTGGCCTCCGACGCTGCCGTGCACCCTCCCGCTCCAAGGCCAGGCCCAGCCGTCCCTGCAGGCAGCTCTTTCGCACAGGGGGGAGGCGCCCCCCCCCCTGAAGGGCGACCGCCCCGTGGGCCTGCTGTGCAGGCGATGGCCCCGTTTTGTGCAGGGAGGGCCCTCGCTCGGTGCTCCCGCGAGGGCCCCTTGGGCGTATTGCAGCAACGTCGATACATCTTAGGCCTACTCTAGTCCTCCTCCTCCTGCTCCTCGTCCTCGTCCTCGTCCTCGTCCTCATCCTCCTCCTCCTCCTCCTCCTCCTCCTCCTCCTCCTCTTCCTCTTCCTCCTTGTGCGGAGAGGCAGGATCAGAGAGAAAGTTCGAGGGACCATCAAGCGATACCCCGTGAGGCCGCGTGTGTGTCGGTCATCTTTCCTGATGAGCCTGGATCAACGGCATTCGGGGGAGACAGGCTTCTGGAGCAGGGCGCGCTCTGTGTCATGCCGGAACGCGTTCATTCGTGAATTGCCATCCCGCGTGCCAGACGACGCTCTGCTTGTATTGGAGAAGCGGGGCTCACAACAACTGCCCGCCAACGTGAGCATCTCCACGTATTGGTTGCATCACCAGTCCTGGGGGCCAGAAGATGATGGGCGCGGTGTGCAGCTAACGCGCGCGAGTTGTTTCATACACACCTGCGCAAACTTTCTGCGGCTTCACGCACTGTGCTGCAAAGGTGGGAAGGGGGGAGGGTGAGGAGGAGGCAAGGGGGAGGAAGTAGACGAGGAGGGGAGCATGTGATGGACAAGAGGTGAGTATCCAGGGTTTCTTGCGTAAAACTGTCCCTAGCTGTCCTTGTGCTTACTTCATTACTTCACCCTCAGAGGCCCTCTTCCCCATTTTCCTTCCTCCCACTGTTCCTTCTCAGCCTCCCCTTCTTCCGCTCTCCTTCTCCCCTCGTAATTATCTTTTCCTAAACTTCATCCTCCCCATTGCTTTCCCTCCTCGTCCTCCTCGCGCCTACCTGCTGAATTTGGCTTCCCTGGGACCCCCTACCTCAACGAATGGGTGCTTGTGGCCTGTGTGCTGATATGCATGGTGGGGTCTCGACGTTCGGGCCTCACATGGACGACGACGACGACGACGACGACGACGACGACGACGACGACGACGACGACGACGACGACGACGACGACGACGACGACGACGACGACGACGACGACGACGACGACGACCACGCATCTTTGTCAGCATGCTGGAGCCCTGGGCACCACCGTTGATTCGTCCTGGGAGCCTGCTGAGGCGAGCAGAGTCCTTGGCCTCCCCTGCCGGGCAGGTGCTCGCGGCGCTCTCGCTGCGCGCCGCGCTGCCCTTCCTGCTCCCGGCGCCCCTGGGGGTGGGGAGGGCCGAGGGGGCGCGCGGGAGAGGGCCCCTCCCGCCGCCTGTCCCGCCCCTTCCCTCCCATCCCTCCCCTTCTCCCCCTGTGGTTCTTCGCCTCCTCGGTCCTCCGTCCCGCCCCCTGCCTCCTTCCCCCCTCCTCCCTGTGGTTCTTCTCCTCCCTCGTCCCGCCCCCTCCTCTTTCCTTGGTGCTCCTCCTTGTGGTTCTGCTTCTCCTGCTGCTGCTGCCGCTGCTGCTGCTGCTGCTGCTCCCCGCCCTCCTCCTCCTCCTCCTCCTCCTCCTCCTCACTCCTCCTCTTCTTCCTCCTCCTTCTCCTCCTCACTCTCGTCCTCCTTCTCTCTCCTCCCTCTCTCCCCCCTCGTACTCGTCTCCGCTCTTCTCCTTCCCGTTCTTCCGCTTCTCCTGTCCTCCTCCTCCTCCTGTTCCTCCTCTCCTGGAGGAGGAGCAGGAGCAGGTGGACGACGACGACGATAGAACTAAGGGGTCGATACATAGAAGGTGCATGGAAGGATGGGGTCCTACCGTCATGTGGCGATTACGATGGATGGAGGGATGGGATGATGAACGTTCCTGCGGGTAAGACCCAGGTAAAGCAGTAAACCCCTGTGGAACGTGGGTGAATAATTCATTGAGACAGCAAGCGTGGAGGAGGATTCAGGACGCACTATGAGGACATGGGTTGGTGGGGTCTATGCGGGGAGGGGGACCCCCCCTCGGCGGAGTGCTGATCTGCCAAGTCGGCTACGCCTACGGGGCTGGTGAGATGTTTTGACGTCCCGACTGGCACTCCTTGTCAAATGCAATCAGGAAATCTGGGATTCACACCCGTCGTGCTGGCTGAGTGAGCGCCTCAGTGACAAGAAGCAGTGACCGTCACGATACAGGCATTTCTCTTCCCTGGTCTTCTCAGCCTGTTCCCGCAGGCGAAAACGCCATCCACTTCCTGGAAGCAGAGTGCACGCATTCCTTTCACTTG